GGGTGACCTTTTGAGGCCTACATACGTTATTGAATTTTGTTGACACGAGGATCGTCTCTAGAGTAATGGTTAAAGAGATTCAAGGTTAGTATGAGATTTCATGTTCCAATCCTGTTAGCACCATTGCACTACCTTTACTGAATCCTTTTAGTGAAAATTTTGGATTTGCCCCTGATTGTCAAATGGTGGTCAAAATCACAACCCAAGAGGTCCCTCCCACATTAGATAACATGTGGTGTTTTATGTGAACACCTTCACACATCGAGATCTCCCGATACCGTTTGTGCTTTTGACACATCTTGTGGTCAATTAGGATTTTAGCTAGAAGAGAACATGGTCCATTTCTATTGTTAGTAGTCGTATATACCATCGGTACACAAGATGCAAGTTTTTTGTCTACAAGTGGAGTTGTTTGACCAAAGATATGGTGCTTAAAGAACTCCTGATTGAGCATTAACTGTGGCAAAAAGCTAAGCATGGAAGATAAATATGTCTCCTCTAGCTATTGATCCTTTACAGTACAGATCTCACCATTCGTTCTTTATATTTCAATGCAAATTATGTTGGATACGGGACCTTTTGAGGCCTATATACGTTATTGAATTTTGTTGACACAAGGATTGTCTCTAAAGTAATGGTCAAAGAGATTCAAGGTTAGTATGAGATTTCATGTTCCAATCCTGTTAGCACCATTGCACTACCTTTACTGAATCCTTTTAGTGAAAATTCTGGGTCTGCCCCTGATTGTCAAATGGTGGTCAAATCACAACCCAAGAGGTCCCTCCCACATTAGATAACATGTGGTGTTTTATGTGAACACCTTCACACGTCGAGATCTCCCGATACCGTTTGTGCTTTTGGCACATCTTGTGGTCAATTAGGATTTTAGCTAGAAGAGAACATGGTCCATTTCTATTGTTAGTATTCGTATATACCATCGGTACACAAGATGCAAGTTTTTTGTGTACAAGTGGAGTTGTCTGACCAAAGAAATGCTGCTTAGTACTCCTGATCGAGCGTTAACTGTGGCAAAAAGCTACGCATGGAAGATAAATGTCTCCTCTAGCTATTGATCCTTTACAGTACAGATCTCACCATTCGTTCTTTATATTTCAATGCAAATTATGTTGGATACCGATTCTTAAGAACTGATTTGCACTACATTCTACAGGAAGATAAAAAGAAGTGTCAAAAAGTTTATTTTGCCTTAAATTGGAGGATTTCCTTGAGATACCTGATTTGAAAGCAACTTTCATAAAAATAATAGTACCATTATTTTTCTAAAGTAACTGTTATTCTTCTCTACCGTTGTACCTTCAGATGCCTAGATTGCACATTTGTACCTCTTCATATCAATGCACGATAAGTCGCCAATTTGTAGAACACCCACGTTTCTATGGATTTGGTGGAGCCTATATATGAAATGCCAATTATGGACCAGCTTGACTTCATAAAATTGGAGGCAGCATAGATTAGTCGAGACACCGACATATCTTTGAAAAAAGGCAGAGGCAGTGGCCGCTTGTGTGCGCTATGCACTAATTAGGTGGATCTACTTTAAGAGACTTTCATAACGCAACAATGTATCTTGAGGGGCTGCTAATGCTCTCCAGGAATCTTCTCCGTCTCCCATAAACATAAAGTGTTCTATGCTAATGTGCATTTTTTCCTTAAATACTGCATGGTGTGAGCTTTGCATTATGCAATTTGGAGACTAAAGCAGGTCTTAGCTCGTAAAAAGATAGGTTGATAAATCGACCCTTCTCCAAAAAGATATATAAAATAGATATAATGTTTATTTCGTCTATACTAAATTCTTCATCGAACCAATTTCTCCCTCTATGTATGTACATATACATGCACATATGTATCCATACAGACATATCTGGTAGCGTCCCTCCCACTATTTCCTGCTTAGCTCTGTCCCACATCGTGGTAATGATTGTAAGTGTTTTTTCATTCCATGGTGTTACTTTTGCTCAAGAAATTTGTTCTCTCTTGTTCATTGTTTATTTAAATATCTCTAACGGATTTTGTACCCAAGTATGACTAGCAATGTGATTGTATGAGCTTTTTTTGAAGGCCTTGTGGGAAGCATTGGTGTTCTGTATCATCTGTGTTTCTGTCTGCAGTGGAACTTTTGATTTTAACCTGAAATTGAATCAGTAAATTTGTTTAGTTTTCTCTTTATAGTTTTTATACTTTGATCTAACTGATTTATTCTTTTCGGTTTTAACTTGGTCCCTCTAGCCTGACTTAATATGGAATGACGATGATAACTGAAGGCCCTGGAACTGGTTACTTAAGACTTGGAAAAGATTTTCATTTAAGTGAATAGTGGCATTTCTAATTGAAGATCAATGGACTTAGCCGTTTAGTTTACTTTCATATGTGTCTTATATTGATTATTATTCGTCCAATAGGAATCTGAATCGAGAAATATTTACGCAGTTCACTATTACCTCGCTTGTAGCCTATGATTCTGTCATTCTACAAAAATGTGAACATAGATGCTCTTGATGTGACAATCGATCTGGTTCATGTGCAGGAATACCTTTGATGTCTTGTTAGAGGCCATTTCTTCCCGGCAAGTTCTTTCACTCTACCAGGGTCTTGGGACAAAGAATGTGCAGTCTTTTGTTTCGTCTTTTATTTACTTCTATGGATATGACTTCTTCAAGAAACTATACTTGAAGAGAAGTGGATTTAAATCCATTGGAACAAGAGCTAACTTAGTAATTGCTGTTGTAGCGGGAGCATTTACAGTCATAATAACCCAGGTGAATCATAATTGGCAGTTCTACTATGACTAGACTTGACTTTAATATTCTCAGTATTGAAGAGAAGGTTGCCTGCAATTAGCCAACTTATGAAGTTTTGGTTATCTGAATTGCTCTGCTTTTAAAGCTCTAATGGCCTGCTTCCTCGCCTAGTTTAAACTGCAAAAGGAACGGTTATTTCCCTCGTGTAGTGCACATTCTTTTATAGAATTATTGATATTTACCCCAAAAATAATCTAGGAGAAAATGGCATCTTCTTTTGGAGTCTTATGTTGAGTCAAGTTAGAGAGAGGAGAATTCGAGTTAAAAGTTTACTTGTTCTTCTGTTTTCTTTTAGGGTGTTGGAATGGTTTGTTTCATTTGTTTTCCAGGTTTCCAAAAAGCCAGGCCATTACAGTGTTCGTCATTTGCAGTTGACAATCAAAGCATAATTATTTGAATTAGGAGAAGATTTAGTGAAAGTAGCATGCTATTCACTTTTTGGACCGGTAATCGAAAAATAGTCAGCATGTGCAAAGTTATTTAAAAATGGCAACTATTTTGCATAATATGTTGAATTATGGAGCTCGTGCGTATAAATTTCCAGCATATTATGTTGGAACTCAAACACACTATGAAATTCCAACACATTATGTTGGAATCTCATATGTAAAAAATTCGAACTCCAACGTATTATGCTGGAGTTTTTCTGGATTTTAAAGGATATTTTTGTTCATATTTTATCTTTACATGAAAAAGTGACTAAATTTCGATTACTTTTGAAGCTGTGGTAATTTTTCAATTACCAGTTGTAAACCAACTTCTATCTGTTGGTTTTCTAAATCATTGAGACCTCATACATTTATAGCTTTTGTAGGAAAAAAACCTTGATTTCTTGCTTATCAGGAAAAAAACAATGATTTCTTTGATAGCTGCATAATCAATCTTTCTGATAAGACAGCATACTTTCCGTTGTCTTTCACTTGAGTGGTCTACACTTGTAAGCCGGATGGCCTATTGAACAGGAGGGAGGGAAGGAGGGAGGGAGGGAGGGAGTCGTTCTCCTTGCATAGAGTATTATCTGTTGGTTTTCTTAAATCATTAAGACCTCATACATTTATAGCTTTTGTAGGAAAAAAACCTTGATTTCTTACTTATCAGAAAAAAAAAAACAATGATTTCTTCGAGGAGTCTTTTTGATATTATATTTTATTGGAATATATGAAAGGGAGTTCTAGGAAGCTCTTACTTCCCAGTTTAGATTCGTGCTTAATGCTTTTAAGGATTTAATAGAGCAAGAAAGTTGTACTGCTCTATTGAAATGAAACCATATCTGACAACTACTGTGTAGAGAAAGGTTCTATGGTGATGGATGCGGATGTGTCTTCTATTCTGGTTGCACCTTCTGGGGTTTTGTTGCTCCAACTTTTTACTTTGGTTTCTGTTAAGGTTTCTTTTTTATTCTGTTCTTCCACTGATCAGAAGTTTTACTCTGTTATTGCAGCCTCTGGATACAGCATCTTCAAGAATGCAAACAAGTGATTTTGGGAAATCCAAGGGATTCTGGAAAACCCTCTCGGAGGGCACTTGGAGTGAAGCATTTGATGGTCTAGGAATATCTATCATTCTCACTTCAAATCCAGCAATTCAGGTATTTACATGTGTTTACTTTCTGATGTGAGTCAATTTATGATAGAAATTGTATTCGGTGATATGAGTGAATGATAGAAATTATATTCAGTGATATGAGTGAATAAATTTTAGTTGCAATATATGGTGTTGTGCAGTACACGGCCTTTGATCAATTTAAAGCAAGAATGCTGAAGGAGAAGATGAAAAGCAAAAGAGGGGCGGAATCGTCTCCAGAATCTCTTTCTGCTTTTTCAGCTTTCGTATTGGGGGCAGTCTCAAAATGTTTTGCCACCTGCATCACATACCCATTAATAAGGCAAGATTCCATCAGTTCTTACGCAAGCAATTACCTTTCCCATTTTAGACTTTCACCCTTTTGATACCTTATTAAGGAGGAGTTTCTAGCTTAGATTATCTCTTAATGTTTTGGATGTGATCCTGTGTTGATAAATTTTTCTGACCTAATGAACTGTTTAATCTTTTTCTGCAACCAATGCCAAGTGGAACAATCTATGCCCAGTTGTATCAAACATGTAGGACACTTGAATATCTGTTGTTTTCCTATTGGTAATTACCTAGTCAGACATATTTTTGCTCTAAAATTAGAATATCATTGCCTGAATTATCAAGATTCAGTTGGGCATTAATTGGATTATCGGGACTACATTTGACATCATATTCCTGCTATAAATCTAGCATGTTGATATCTGCCCTTTCTTCTAGCGTCAACATAAACTTACTCATATGCCCTGGGTATAGGTGTAAAGTCATGATACAATCTGCTGAATCCGAAGGAGATGGGGAGGATGAAGCCGAGTTAAAAGCCCGAAAAACAATCTCTGGATCCCTTCATGCCATATGGAAAAAGGAAGGGCTAATGGGATTCTTTAAAGGGTTACAGCCTCAGATCCTGAAGACCGTTCTAAGCTCTGCATTGCTGTTAATGATAAAGGAGAAGATCTCAAAAACCACATGGGTTTTGCTTCTAGCAGTGAGGAGATATCTGTTCCTTACAAGGGCCAGACTAAAGAGCTCCTGAAATTCTCTTAGAAGAACTGCTGCATCATTCAAATGTAACAATGCATATTAGCTTGTAGGGCCTTGTTTGAGACGTGGAGTGACCTTTGCACGGATAAAATGTTTCATCTAGTAGTGTAATTTTCTTTTAGTTTTCCTGTTATAATGTTATTCTTTAAATAATTTTGAATTTCTTCTTTCTGTATACAATAATTACAATTTTCTCGCTGTTTCTGTTCTGTTATACATAAAGTGAATGCATGTGGCTGTATTTAATCAATCCATACGTTTTATTCAATATACAACTTGTACAGAGGTACCTATTAATTCTTAGGACTTTGGATGTATTTTGTAAACTATAAATAGGGCACCTTCTGTCCATGGAAGAACACACTTGAATGCTCGATGAAATAAGAAAAGCTCCTCCTCCTCGCTATTGTTTGTTTTCGGGTTTTATATTGCTCAATTTGTATCAATTTTACAATATGTTATCAGTACGAGTCTGTTACCAATTGAGATTATTTGCTTCAGCTGGATTTTATCTTCTTAAATGTGTTAATTTTTTTTTCTGATTCAAGTACACTTTTATTTGCTTATACCGTTTTATGGACCTTCTTAAGTTTCTAGCTAACAATTGAATTTTTATATATTACTACATGCATAACTTGCTGTGAAATTGTAGTAATATTAAATTAGCCATGAAACTGAAAGATTACGTGCAATAGTGCTCTTGAATATGTGCCATATAAATATGATAGATAATTACATAGAATACGGTGCCATCTCGTGTTCTGCTTCTTGTTTGCCTGTGGGGTAACTTTTGGTTTAGAATTATTTGAACTTTCAAATTAGTAACTTTGATGTGCATGCTTAGTATCAAGACCTAAAATCCAATTAGATGTAACACAACCCGCTAGGTAAGCCAATTAACAATAAACACAATCCAAATGAGATTACTAGCAAATAAATGATGAAATAATTGAATTCTTATACAATAACCAAATGACTGATAGTACAAATTATGGCTTCTAAGACATAGAATTTATAAAGCTGGTACGAAATAAATACATCATCTGTTCGCAATATACATAATAGATTTGCAATTCTAAAGCTACCAAGGACAAATGACAGCTATAATCGGAACACATGTACTTCTTCAATGCTAGCTCCGGTTGTACACAACAACATCAGCTCCAAGATCTGCACGCAAGGTGCAAAAGTGTTGTATGAGTACAACTGACCCCATGTACTTAATAAGTATCCTAACTAACCTCAGCGAGATAATAAAAGCAAGAATTATAAATGATATTCGCTATCACCTGTACAGTTCCATAATTCAACAAGTATTAACAGATATATGATTAAATTAGGAAAAACACAAGTAAAACCACCTTGGTGATCACATCAACCGAAATCCGTCGGTTTCTCACAATCCGCGTGTAACATGAGAGGGTGACCCTAGGAGGATGGATCTGTATCCACACGTAAGCACGACTAATTCAATGTGCTACACAGACAACTCACGTGCTACACGTATAACTTACGTGCCATAATATTAATATCTGGATCCGCACGGACAACTCACGTGCCAATAATCACAAACCTCCCAGCGTGGTCACAGGCTCAATATCACAATCCGCTCGGCATGGGCACAGGCCTAACAAGGCATCACAACATAATCCACCAGGTGTGGTCACAGGCATAACAACACAATTCACTCGGCATGGTCACATGCATAATAATACAATCCGCCCTGTGTGGTTACAAGCATCCAGTTCAAATCATATTACATAGAAGCAAATATATAAGAACATATGTATATGATCAATTAATATCAGATTTCATGCTCCTATACTAGTATACGTGACATGCTAAAGTGTATGCATGTGCAAACTGTGCTATCATATCTCAAATCAACAACTTCATCATGAGAATAGCAAATATCAAGTTCAATAAGGAAATTAGCCTATATGTAACCTCAAAACATGGATCAACTAGCTCATAACAACGTTACAAATATGAGGAACGTCACAGCTTAAAGCTTAACAATCAGTTCAAGGCATATTATTGCCTAAGCACTACCTTGAGCATAAATTAATACCCCGTTGCTCGCACATGGGCTCAAACCCCACACATGTACGCACCCAATAGCACATAGCAATCACAAATAACTCATGTAACTAGTGCCTCAACCAAGTTTAGATAAGATACTAACCTCAAACGAGCCAAAACAAAATACCCAGCATGGAAAATAATACTCTAGAAGCGCCATTCCGCGCGAATCAACCTCCGAACGGTATGAAACTAGCCAAAATCAACTCAAAACATCAAATAGTGCCTTAGAAAGCAAACCCAAGCGATAAAGGTTGAATCTTTAATCAAATACTCAAAGTCAACCAAAAAGTCATACCCGGGGTCGCACCTCAGAACCCGAACAAACTCCGAAAACCCATTTAATTACGAGTCCAACCATACTAATTTCGTTCAAATTCGACTCCGAATTGATGTTAAAAATTCAACTAATCACTTCAATAAAATTTAGACAAAACCCCCTTTCTCTTCTAAAATCACCAATCAAATGCCAAAATTGAAGATATAATCATGAAATATAATCAAATTCGAGTAAAAAGTACTTACCTCAATCCATGTGGTGAAAATCCTCTCCAGAATCGCCCAAATCCGAGCTCCCTAACTCAAAAGGTCCGAAATTGAGTACTTGTATGCATTGCCCAGGTGATCCCTTCACGTACATGGAAGAATCCTCGCATTTGCGATGAACAAAATACACTGCTACCAAAATGGCTTATGCATTCGTGATGCTTTTCATGCGAACACGAAGCCCACAGATGCCACACTACACGAACGTGACCCGCGCCTCGCAAACAGGGAAAAGAGTGCTCTAGTTCCCGGCTCATCATCACGAATGCGACCTCACAAACGCGAACGCGAAGCTCAAGTCCCACATACTCTGCGAAAGTGACATAATACTAGCGAACACGAAGAGATAAAATAGTCTAGTCCAAATCCTTATTCGCGATCACGATGACTCCCACGCGAACGCGATTCACTACAGACGTCGACAAAAACCAACATTGCAGACATAAGAGACATGATCCAAAATCACCCCGAAGCACAACCGAGCCCCTCGGGACCCCATCCAAACATACCAACAATTCCCAAGATATAAAATGGACCTAATAGAGGCCTCAAATCACACATAACACCAAAACCACGAATCACACCTCTAATCAAACTTAATGAATTTTTGAACTTTCAACTTCCAAAACTCGTGTTGAACCATATCAATTCAACTCAGATGACCTCAGATTTTGCACAAAAGTTACAAATGACATAATGAACTTATTACAACACTCAGAACAACAATCCGAACTTGATGTCATCAAAGTCAATTCCCAATTAAATTTATGAACATTCCAAACCTTCAAATTGCCAACTTACGCCAAATCGTGCCGAAACCTTCTTGAACCATCCAAATACAAATCTAGGCATATGCCTAAGTACAAAATCACTATATGGACCTAAAGGAACCATCAAAACTCTGATTTGAGGTCAAATATATAAAAGTCAAACTTGGTCAACTGCAACGACCCAATCCGTTTTGAGCTTTTGCTCTCCGTTCGACGGGTTGAGATTTTGAGTAGCTTTATATGATGTATTATGACTTACATGTATGGTCAGTTTTAGTTTTTGAGTGGTTTAGGATTGATTTGGAAGAATGACTCTCGATTTGGAAGATTTAAGTTAGAAGAGTTGACCAAAGTTTGAATTTTAAGTAAACGGACTCGGAATCGAGTTTTTTTTGGTTCCGATAGGTTCATATTATGATTTTGGGATTGTACGTACATTCAGATTCAGTTTTGGAGGTTCCTAGAAGAATTCGACTCTATTTCTTGAAAATTGACAATTTGAAGAACTTAAGAATTCATAAGTTTGACCAAGAGTTGACTTTGATGTTATTGGACTCCATTCGGTGTTCTGAGACTTTTGATAGGTCTATATAGTTTAATTGAACTTGGGTGAAAATTTTGGAATTACTATGAAGTATTAAGTGTGATTCAGATACTCTTTTGAAGGAATGAAGATTTAACAACATAAGAGAAATTCTATTCGGTTTGAGTCTCGATTCTTTGTTATGATATTCCTCTGTGTGTTTTGAGGCTTTCTATAAGTTTGGATAATGGAATTTTAGTGTTTGTTAGGATTGGATGGGGTTCTGAGGGCTTAGTTGTGTTTTGAATAATTGGTTGAGACACTAGTTAAGTTAAGGATTTGGAATTTGACCATGGGCAATATCGGGTCAAGATGACCTCTTTTCGGTGTTTTAATTGCGCGAGCATGTTTGTAGCGTGTTTTATGATTGAAATGCATATATGATTTGTGTTCGGGAGGTCTCGAATGAGTTTTGAGTGCTAAAACGAAGATTCTTTATTGCTGATTTTTCTGGTGTAAAATAATTATGAAAATACAATTTATGTCCCTTAAATTTCGAGACTTCCTTTAAAACTTCAAAACATCATATCTCCTTCATTTTAAGGCCAATTTGGGTGATTTAAAAGGGCTTGGGTGTAGTCTCGCAAGAATTTTTTTGGTCTTATCAAGTGTGAGTTTCGGGATCATCTAGGATCTATATCAAGCTGGAACAAATGTTGTACTTTTTTACTTGTTTCAAAATTTAGTCACTTTTTCTCACAAGGTTTTGGAGCTCGGATTTAGGCAATTTTCGAGGGGATTTTCAAAATTTTGACTGGGACAAGTATTTTCACTCGGATTTGTTATATTTCATGATTCTAATCTTTAATTTAGTGATTGTTTAATGAATCCAATTGAAGAAATTGGGGATTTTAGTAAAAAACTTTTCTAAATCATAAATTGATTATTTGAGGGTAGATTTGAGGTCGGATTTCGATGACACACATATGTTTGGACTTGTATTGGAATGGGTGTTCAAAATTTATGAGTTTATCGGGCCTCAGAGTGCGGGACTGGCGTTGACTTTTAGAGTTGACCTTTTGATTTTAGTAAAGATCGAAAATTTATTACTCGGAATGATTTCCTATAGATTTTATTTATGATATTAAGTTATTTTCGCTAGATTCGAGCTGTCCGGAGGTTGATTTGCACAAGAATGGCTTATTAGAGTGTTAATTTAGCTTACTTGAGGTAAGTGTCTTGCCTAGCTTTATTGGAGGAAATTTTCTTGATAAAATGCTATTGTTTGCTATATTAGGGGGTGATGCATATATGAGGTGACAAGAGTAT